AAGAAAGGCTTGGATTCTAGTGAAAACATGTTGCCGCAGATCCATGTTTCAAGATTTCTCGTTCAAATATCTTAAGATTCTTAAGACTTGTAATCAATTGAGTATGTTCTTTTATTCTGCTTTCAACAGTAAAATCAAAGGAACAGCGGAAGCAAGCATTTCTTCGTGTCATGAAGTATTCAAGTGGAGGAGTCCTAGAGGTAATCTTCATTTTCTTTATTCAAATGAGGCACACTCTCGCGAGAAACTTACAAGGTTTAACATTTTGATTAGAAAAAAAAATGATTATTAATAATCGGATTTATGCTTACCACTATGGTAGCTAGGGATCATTCCTCGCGCAATTCATATTGACTGATAATGTTTTTGAATTCTTTGTTTATCCAGCCTGCCAAAATGTACGAACTCAAGCATCTTTCAAAGATGGAAGTCATAACTAATGATCCAAGTGGATGCACTTTTACCCTGGTAAGATCACTCAATGACTTTGATGAAGTGGTTAAGAAAAAAGGCATTCTTACTCAAATAATTTGTAGCATGTAGTGGAAAAAATGGAACACGAAAGCCGAGTGTGTAACTAAAAATACTGTTTAACATTTGGGCATTTCGCCATGTTCCCTCTGCTATTTCTGATTCAAAATCTTTTAGGGATTCGACAATCTCAGGAGTAAAAGTGTTGCTCCTACTCAGTGGACCATGCGCAACACGGATGACAGGTGCTGCAGTTAGAAACATACATATTAGCTCTTACAAAATGTGGAGGATAGATGATAACTGATGATAACTTTGTTGATGTTGTTTTGCTCATATAATACATACCTTTCTTTATCGTGATTATATAGGAACCGGCTTTTGGTTTGCACATTGAACATATGCAAAGACGTATTAGGCCGCCTTCCCAAAGTCGTTGGTATAGATATTGTCGAGATGGCTCTTTGGGCTAAGGTGTAGATTATAACTTCTTCTGTTTTCAAACTCTGGTCTAAATCTCTTATTTCCTAAAAAAGCTTACTTATGATTCTTTTACCTCATGTAATATGCTAGTTCTTTTTTATTTTCTTAATTATGAGGAAGTTCAGGGCTGAAGCCCATAATATATTAGTTCTTTTGATATAATGGTTTCATTTTCTCTATGCCTTTCTTTGTTTTCATATTATTGGTCTAGGATAACACTCCAGTAGTCACTACTCAAAGAAGTACAAAAGATGGTGAGCCTGTTGCTGAAATTGTGACAGAAAGTGACTTGAAAGTTAATGTTGAGAAAGAACTAGTCTCTCAGGTTGAGGAAGAGGATATGGAGACTCTCTTGGAAACGTATGTCTTCTATTCTGTTCCACTTATCATTTGTCCACATATTTGTTTCTTTCTCTTTTCTTGAATCAATATATGCCTCACAAATGAGGACCCTTCTATCTACTTTGCATTATAGTTATATATGGAATGAAGAGAGAAGAGTAGAATTTGAACAAGAAAGCATATCAACGATCCTTTCCCTACGAATCTTAAGCTTGTGACACTAGGTTTCAGACTAACATAGATTGCATATATGTTTAGCATGTTTCATAATTTATACAACTACTTTCTTATATTTTTGCTCTTGATTGTTTTTAGGAAAAAAATGTCCAATATAACACTTTTTCGACTTTTAGTATAAGTTTATAGCACTTATTTCAAAGGTTTAATGAACTTAACACTTTCATACCTAAGTGGTCCAAAATGTCCCTACACCCACATCCATTCCCTACACACCAATTTCACAATGAAGTCCACTAATAACAAATTTTGGACCCAAATTGTTTTTCCATTTTTCCTCCTTGTCCTTATTATTATCTTCTTAATTTTTATATATCTCATAATTTATTTTAGTAAACAAATGTTTTATTTTTAGTTTTTATAATAATTTATTTTTCTTTACTTTTTGATACCTATTTGATTACATTTTGTTAGTTTTATTTTAAAAAAACTAATAGGTATTATACTTGTACATATAAACATGTAGACATCAATATAATGTGTTATGTTTGTATGAATACATCTTATACTGTATATACGTGTACAATAAATTCAGGCTCGGTTCTATGCATGTGCAAAGAGTGTATTTTCACAAGGCCCATTTGCTTAGGGTCCGAAAAAAATTGTTACTGAAAAAGAAGGTCTGTTTTTGTAATTTTTGGTATATAAAAACCAAAAAAAAAAATTTAGCATTGGGTCCAGCTTTACACTAAGCCGGGCCTGAATAAATTATATCATTTATGTTATACATGTACATATATAATATGGTAGTTTAAACTCTTGCATTGTTTTTCTGAAAAGTAATTTTCTTAGGGGGTAAAAGATTTCTGAAAAGGAAATGCATTTTTCCTTTTCCATTTAATCTTGCCAGATTATTCATACATGATACAACTAATATAATTGACCTTTACAGTTATATAATGGGCATTGGTGAAGCAGAGGCATTTTCTGAAAGCCTGAAGCAAGAGCTCCAAGCTCTTGAAGCGGCAAATGTACATGCAATAATGGAAGGCGAACCATTAGTAGACGAGGTATTTCCTTTTGTGTCAAGTTGTTATTATTAGGACTATCTTAATATATTTGGACAGTTTTAATGTATTTATGGGAGATCATCGTTTATTTTTCATGTTTATATGGCTATCTTCATGTTTTCCAGGTCCTGAATGGAATTGAGGCAGCAACAAATATTGTTGATGACATGGATGAATGGTTAGGAATCTTCAACTTAAAACTTAGACACATGAGGGAAGACATTGAATCGGTAGGACGCACTATCTATAAATTGTTGT